ACCAGGCCTGTGCCTGGCCCCAGCTAACCCTCCAGGTTACTTCCCACTGCGCAGACTGCACCTCTTCCCTTCCCGGGCCAAGGAACCCTTGGGGCCTGGGCACTCATGTCCCTACCAACCTGGAACACACCCCTCTCCCCCGGCGGCTTTGTGCACAGCTCCCCCCCCCAACCCCCAACCTCAGGTCTCTGATCACACTCCATTTCTCGGCGAGACTTTCCATGACCAGTCTCTTTAAAACTGAAAACCAAACGCGTCACACAGTCCTTGTTCTCTTTCTCTGCCTTATTTTTCTGCACAGTACTTATCTTCTTCTGACATGGTATAAGTTTTATGACTAATTTTGCTCATCTTTTCTCCCTAGATCAGAAAGCTCCAGGCTGGCAGGGATTTGTCTGTCTTGTTCACATCTGGATCATCCACACCTGGAACAGGGCTTACCACATAGTAGGTCCTCCACAAATATTTACTGAATCCGTCAGTTCTCTCCATACACCGTTTAAGTCCACTTGGGTGGGCCTTTGGCTGATTCTGTTTCCTCTGAGAAGGCACCATCTTTCTTTCCCCATTCACCTGGAAACCTGCTATTCGCTTACCGTGCCCAACTAATGTCTTCTCCTCAGAGTTTACTTGGTTTTCTCCTACCTACAACCCTTCACTTATCCCAAGGCACTGCGGCGGGTTGCCCACAGCTAGATTCTGAGTTTCCAGGGGGCAGAAACTGCGCCTTCCTCATTTCTACAGTCACTCCCTGCTGAGATGAATGGATGGCTCACAGCAGGTCCCAAGCCCCACTTGCTGAATGGAGAAATGAATGGCAAGCTGGAGTAGGTGCACGAGGGGACAACGTCATGGGAAGGAAGAGACATTCTGTGGGTGGCTAAGATTCTGGTTTGCTTAAGTTTGTCAATACTTATGCATTTATCTGTAACATTTATATTTAATACATCTCTCTGGAATGGTTGAGGTGCAAAAAAAAAAAGAAAAAGAAACAAACTGTACAATAATTCATGCCTAGGGACTTAGGAAGCAGGTACCTTTTGGGTCTTTTAAAACATTGCAGTGTCAAAGTTAAAGAAAAAAGTTGATATATTTCTACATTTTAAAGTAAAACACATGCATGCATAAACACATCTAGAGAATTATTTGCTTCCAAAAGGAAATATAAATAAAACCCATGTGAATCACCCAGTCCTTTTTCTACACACTTACAGCAACACGTACTCCCATACCCAGTAAGGCAGGTGGATCACGATTCTGCAATGTTATTCTATTTAGTCCTTAGCGTGTTAAGTCATGAAAAACTGCTCAAATGAGCTGTTTGTGGAAATACATCTACCTTAACTCCTGCCCGAAAGGTTAAAAATTATTGTCTATTAACTTCAATATATGTTTCAAAAGCTAATGGTTTTTAGGATATAAAAGGAAATACCAAATGCAGACAATTCCCAAAGGATGCTGTGATGAAATCCATACCCTATTTAACTAACAGTAAGAATCACCAATTTTCAAAGGATCAGAATATACAGAAATAAGAAGCTTTAAACTTACATATAAGCATTTAACGTACCCTTTAATAATTCAGTTGTTTTAAACATCCAGATTTATGGAAGACCGGTAGGCTCTCAGGGCAGACCCTAAGACGCACAACTCTGGGAGTGAAATGCTGACTTGCCGACCTGCCGACCTGCCTGCAGCATCCCACTGGACCTCTCCTGGTGGCTTTTGTTATTATTTGGAGAGAGGAAGGGGTATCACAGACCGCGGTTTACAGGCCCAGTGAATGAGTCAAATAACCACGACATTTCTACTAGTACCAGGGCCCCTCTTCCTAGGGCTCTGTACCATGTCATGTGAGAGAAGAGGAGAGGAGATTGGCACCCTCCCTTCAGACCGGATGTGGCGGGACCACGGAACTCTAATTAAGGCTCAAGGCAACCCTGGGCACAGGAAGAGTCAACAGACTCAGCACGGGGAAGATTCCGGAAGCAAAGGAAACCAAACCCCTTCAGGTACGGCTGCAGCTGCAATTTCTCTCCTCTTAAAAAGGTGTTTCAGAAACACTCTGCCACCTGTCACTCCTGTTCCCTTCCTAGAAGCACAGAATTTAATTTTAGACACTCAACAAAGAGCTGGCTTGCCACCCTGACGAACCTCACAGGCGGTGGGGCAAGGTGTGATCTGCTCACGGCTGCCCAGGGGCTCCATGAGGCGGTCCCCATCCCTTGCTCTGCATCCGAGTTCTGCACAGGCTTTAACTGGGAAGGAGCTGAGGAAGAAGCAAGGTTCCTTTATCGTGGAAAGGGGCAGAGAGAGGGTGGAAAGCCACCTGGCTGAGCCTCAGGGTTTTTAAAAATCTCTTCAAGGGAATGTAACCGGCTGCTAACCTTCTGAGGGTCGTCAAGGGTGGGTGTCCTCACAGGCAGAAGATAGAAAGGGACAGCTAAGTGTCAAGAGTCTCACACCTGAATGTGCAGCCACCCTCCCTACTAACCCTGCTTTGCCAAGGGTAAGCATGTTAAAAAGCCCACAGTCTCAAAGTAGGGTGGAAGCTTCTTTAAGGCAGTCTTTCCCATCTCCTAACATTTGGTTCCTAAAGTGAGAAATGCATCCAGTCTGTACAGTGGCTGGACATTCCTTCTTTCCATCCACCACCTTCACCTTCATCACCTCCTGTTACAATGACTTCCTCTGCATTCTGGCCTGCTCCTCTCAAATCCTTTCCTCTTCACCCCAATTCCCCCAGCAGCTCACCTCCTGGGGCTCAGCACTGCCAGAGGCCCCCACCCATGGGCCTGGCCTGAGGAAACCTGCCTGTTCAGTCTGCCAGCCCAACGCCCGCGCCGGCCTCCCATGTGGTGAGAGTCAGCTGGGCCTACTCGGGGAGGTCACACTTCCCCGCACTTTCTTTCCTTCCGTCCCACCCCAGGGCCATGAGGGACTGTTCCCACCCCCTCTCCCCTGAGTCCTTCCAGTTTCCCAGGCCAGGTCCATCCAGGACACTCAAGGCCAGGGGGCAGAATGCTACATTCCAGTGGCTTCACATGCAAGGAGGGTTCTGGACTCCTTCACGGGGGGTGGGGGTGCGGCAAGAAGGCAGGCAGGGAGGGAAAAGTTCAGCAGAGGAGGATTCGGCCTACTGAGCCCACTACTCAGGGCCCAGGGCCATGGGCAGTGAGGGCAACAGGGGCCCCAAGAGGTCCCTCCAGACCAGGCAAGCAGCAGCCACTCAACCTGCTCAGGTTCGAAGAAGAGGCTCATTGCAGACACACCAGAAACTGTAAAAAGTGTAAGAGAGCACAACAGACTTCCAGAGGCCTCGGTTCCTCAATCTGTAAAACGAGGGGGCTGGCCCAGAGATGCCTTTCTGAGGACCCTTCCAACTCCGTAATTCTCTGATTCCCGGGTTAGCAACAGTTCTCTGACCTCAGTCATTCTCAAGGCCTGAGGTCATTCTGACTAGCAAATAGGAGGCCACTTCCACTCAGAAGGCAACCAAGCTTCTTTCACCTCCCAGAGCAAAACTGTCCTCTTGCAAAATCAGATTCCTTTGCCTCTGACTAAGTGTCTCCCAGAAGAGTCTGGGAGCCTTTCATGTGATCTCTGTGTCCTTCGGGTTTTAACTCTGTAGAGGGCTGGGCTCAAACCCTCAGGCTCTGGCCTCTCAAGGGCCTCCCAACTTGTCCTGCTTGCAGGGCCCCAAGGCTCATGAAATCAGGCTCCAGGACATATGTCTTCTTCAAGGTCACCCTCTGGAGCGGAGGACTGCAGCATGATGGGACTTAACACCTGGACCCACGGGGGGCAGCGAGGAGGACCACGACACAGTGCCCATCATGGAACTCCTCAAATACAGAAGTTCCAGTCCGCTGGAACCCGGGAAGGGGAGGCTGGGGAGGACTGAGGAGTTGGGAGCCCAACTGGTCCCTGTGTAAGCAGGTAAATAAGCCAACTTCAGCCTGGGTGCAGGACCTCCTACTCCCTCCCAAGACAGTCAAGGTGACTGTCCTCTCTTGGAAGATGGGCAGTGAGGGCCCGTGGCTGGACTGGCATCCCGCCCTACTGGGGACAGGGGTTGGCTTGCTCTTCAACCACCTGATGACTGAGGGGAATAGAACTTGAGAGAGAAGGAAGAGAGAAATGATGCTAGGGAGACTGGGGAGAGGGGATAAATGAAGAGGAACTGCCATTCATGGGTTAGACAAAGTCATAAGAAGCATCTGTCAGCCAGGTTCGACCTCTATAAGATGCTCCACGGAGAAAACAACACCCTCGAGTGGTCAAATCTGCCAACTGTACTTCAAACTAAGTATCTATCTTTCCCCTTTTTTAAAAAACCAACAACTGTTTCTAATAAGTCTCTGTGAGTAAAGGCTGACAACAGCGAAGATTAATTCTGTATAAAAGATAAAAACGATCCTACGAAAAGGTATCCTGATGTAGAGTCATCTCATTTTAAGTAATCCCTTTTATTGAAAACAAACAAAATAGAATCCCTGACCAATTACCACCTCCTTCCTGTCAGACCGGGATTCAACACAATACTTTATTTACTAAGACCCAAACACTAGCGAGAGAATATGCCTTCCATGTGGTGAATCATCTGGAACTAACTGCAATTTGGACTCCCCCCCACCCCAACACGTACACACTACCCTTCATAAGAAAGCAGTCCAGTGTCCCGTTTGGTAAAACGTGCATGTTCCCATCACGTGTTGTTCCTCCTGCTGTCAACAGACTGCTCCTTTGTGGCGGCTGATTCCTGCACATGAGCACGGTGTGTGCCCAGAGCAGACATGGGCAGGTGGCCCATGAAGACTGCCCCACAACAGCTCTTCTGTGATAAAGGCCAGGTTTTCAATGGGCCACTTTAATCTGGGTGAGAGAGATGTGAGAAAGTGGAAAGGCAGTTTTACACTCTTTTTATAAAATTTGATGAATCCTTCAAACCACCTATGAAATAATCTCACCACGGAAGAAACACACAGCACTCATTTGCATTGAAATCAATTTATTTTTTTAAAGTTGGGTAACAAGGGAGAACCTTAATGTTGAAAGAAAAAAATTCTGGTATGCACCAAGACCTAAAAAAAGAAAAAAGAAAAGAAACATTATTAAAATGACACCAGACAACAAAAATGTCATTTGAAAAGGCAGGGCAAACGGTTTTCTTTGAATGAGTATGTATGTGTGTTAGTTTGAAGTTCTTCCAATTTCTCCATAAAGAAAAAGAATTCTAACTGTTGTTCAATCCTGTCACATAAATCATTTTTTTGAATCAATAAATATTTTTAGAATGAAAAGAAGCACTTACAAACCACTGACAAAGGACTTCAGCTTCATGTTCTTGTCGCCTTTGTGGACATGATCACTTTTTTAAAACCATCTTTTCCAAATTGTAATCTCCAGGTCCGGGGTCAAATACTCTTACTGTTCGGATCACTGTCCCTAACAAGAGAACACAAGGATATATCTTCTTCAGTCCTTGCCACATGAAATAGTAGCAGCATAAACCTTTAAACTTTCTTAACTTAGAAAACGATGACTTACCTATTTCCGTTAGAGCTGTGATCTTCATCGTGAGTATGGCTCAGATACCTCATCAGCGATGAGTGGTGGTGCTCCTTCCTGCACCATCTATCTGGACCCCTTGGGGACCATTTGTTCTTCTTATAGCAGATGAGGAGGAATTCTGACAGCGGTCCTCAAATTCAATACTCTATCACCCAACAGCAAGAGACCATCATCTTAGGGCACGCCTGCCTGGAGGAAAATCATGAACAAGACCTCCTCACAGGTACCTTCAAGCCATCAGTGTGATGTAATGTGAAGAAAAACGTACGATCAATTTACTAATTAACTTAAAATATTATTTGCTGAGCAACTACTTCTTTGTTGGCACCATGCTAGGCACTGAGTTGGCTACAAAGCAGCAGGGACCTATTCAATTAAAGAGCATCTTTCTACCCATCTTCCGCCTTAAAAGCAAACATAAGTTAGAACAGGGTGAACCCATGAAGGGCAGAGCCTGTTTTAATATAGCCATCAAATATGCTGGAATTTGAAATGTTCCAATAACAATGCTTACTGGAAATAAATCACTATTAAGCTGTTTTGTCCTTTCAAAATTATCTTGGGAGCCAGTAAATATTATTCAAACTACTGACAGGCTGGGTGTGTCAGTTCTGATGAAGAAATCACGGCACACTGTTACTGATAATTAATTTGGAACATCCTCCTACCCTGCCTCCAACCAGGGGGTAAGTATCTTCATGCGGACAATGTCTTATTTCAACCAAATATCACTTTTATTTTATGGTAAGAGAAGGGGAAGTCATTTTCTTTCCACCTTCAGAATATTACATTTAATCAACAAGGCATTTAAGGAACACCTGCTACGTACAAGCCACAGTGTTCAAAGCTGAGGGACAAAAAGATACAATCACAGCTAACATCGACCACCTGCCTATCATGTGGTCGATGTTATGATTAAAGTGGCCCATAAAAAACCTGCTTATTATGTACAGGTTACTATTCCAATGCTGTACACAAATGAGTTAACTTAGGTATGGCCTATAACAACCTGAAGGAGGTAGATCCTATTATTATTCCCATTTTACGGATGGAAACCATGCACAGAAGTCAAGCAGCTTGGCAGGGTAAGGCACCAGGCAAGTCACTAGGATGGACTATGAACTGACCTCAGAGCTTGAACCCCTGCTAGCACTTAATATTGCCTCTACCGATAAATGTGCTTTCTCCTGAGGAAGTCATTTCCTCTGGGCACGTTTTCCTGAGACGGCATCCGCAGTGCTCCCCGGCAAATGAAGGAACACAAGCTAGGCCTATGGGTGGGTAAAATGTCCCAAGGCTGTGGTGACTGCTCATCCGGGAAGCAAGCAGCAGGACTAAGGAGGCAGCGCCCGCGCTAGGAGTGAGGCCAGAGGCACCGCTGAGGAGGGCAGTGGGCGGGCTGGCTGGGCGGTGTCCCCAAACCGCTAACGGCAGAGGGTGCCCGCGTGCAGAGCTGGGGCTCGAGTGAGGGCAGCGGCTGGAAGCGGGGCTTCCTCAACAAGGGTGGGTACAAGAGAAAGGGATTCAGAATCTGCACAGGGGAAATCAATGACCAACCCATTAAGGGAAAAAGACTCGGGGGGCTTGGGAGCTCCAGACTGGGGTGCGTCTGCCTGTCTCTCGCAGGTAGTGTAACCGCTACCTCCCGCAACTCCAGCCCCAAATGCTACAGGCATTTAGTATTCACCTAACTGCCCTTCTCCAAGATGCATGGTGTTTTGTTTGCAAAAATCAAGTCTCACGGCAGGTCAGGAAGTTAGTTATTTGACAACAAATTCAGAAAGAAAAGGAACAGAGTGCTACGGTTGGACTATGGCTAGGAGAGACTTCCGAGACACCCACCACACTAGATCCAGACGTTGTGCCTCACCCCTTGGGAGCACCAACTCTGAGAGGTAGAAGTGTGAAGCCGCGATAAAAAAATCCATCCCGCATTTACCCGTGGCGTGAACCTTTGAGTCTGCGACCTCCCTCAAACTATATGCCTTCTCCCACTGTCTCACATCTGAACAGCCAGAAATAAACCCAGGGCTCTCAAACTTGAACCTTTCCTCCTCCCCCTCATTGAAGCTGGCCAAGTTCCAGGGCTCTGTAAGCAAAAAAAAAAAAAGCAGCTCAGGGACACCGCACTAGCCCTCGCCGACTGCTGAAATGTTCTCCAAAAGCCAGAAGCTTTGTGTTCTACCATATGACAAGGAACACGGGAATCGATTTCATTATCCATTGATTTAAATATTTAGAACCACATTGTTAAGGAGCATTTGTGACGAAAACACAATTGGTTTTGGTTGATAATGAAGATCAGCTGATTAATGATTAACCGTTTAGTACTGGAGATAATCTACTGATGAAAAGACTTAAATAAATGTTTATAAATTTGTTACAAAAGGAACTACAGGCCTTAGGTAGGGCCAAACCTTAGGGGAGTCCCACACTCCTTCCCCCCTGACAAACCTTTTCCCTAAAAGCTGTCAGCTTTTCCACACCTTTTCATTTACCCTAAAGACCCAATGTCAGCGCACATATTCTGGAGATGGTGGTGGGTGTCAAATATTTGCTTTAGTACTGCTGAATATAAATATCTATTAATATCCCTTTGTGCTTTAATTTTTAAAAAGATTTTAACAAATTTTTAAAAGATTTTATACACTTGACTTTAATGAATGCTACTGTCCCATAATATTACCTAAAATTCCAAAAATATCCAAGGTTAAACTATTAAATCTAATGTGATTTCACCTTCAAATTACTTTTTCAGTACAAAGTGTGCTTATTTTAAATAAATATGTTGACCCAAAGTGTTCAAATCCAGCTGTGCACATGCATTACTTAGCTATATGCTGTGGTTTAGTGACATGTACATGGGTCCTCTCTCCAACCAAGAAGCAGCCAGGTAAATGCCCAGTATTTTCTAGACTGGAAATGTTGATTGGTAGAGATCACATGCATGAATTATAAATTTTCAAAGATTTAGAATAATTCAGAAACAGTCATTTAATTTAAAGAGGTAATCAAAATGTTTGTCTTGCTTCTGATAATCCAAAAAGCACTTCAAATTTATATAAAATATATCTGAAGCCTGGCAATTTGGTTTTGCATCCTGTTTGTATAATCGGTTTTGAGTGAGAAATGTTTGAACAAAGACTACACAAGTGAATCTGAAATATTACAACAGATGCTATCTATACCTTTTGAATAGGAAACCAGTACCTGAGTTGTAAAAACTATTTATTAATGTATCAGCCAATAATAATACAAGGGAAAAAAGTCCGTTTCCCTGATTTCAACAAATTCAATTCCACAAGTGATCCGAGTTTTTCCAAATTTTATACATGTGCCCCGCGGGATAACTTCCAGGCCTCCAGTTTTCATTTATAAATTGGTGGAAGTGGAAACCTTAAATTCTCAGATAAAATCTTTGGTAACAAGAGCCTATGTCTCATGCATACAAAGCACAAAGGTTGCAAATTCATCTTGAAGTTAGTATCTAGTATTTAGGGTGTAGTTAATTATATCCATCTTTCACTCTAAATAAATATTTGCAATCCAATAATTCACTACAAAAAAAAAGCAATAGAATAAAAATGTCCCGGGGCGCCTGGGTGGCTCAGTTGGTTAAGCGACTGCCTTCGGCTCAGGTCATGATCCTGGAGTCCCGGGATCGAGTCCTGCATCGGGCTCCCTGCTCGGCAGGGGGTCTGCTTCTCCCTCTGACCCTCCCCCCTCTCATGCTCTCTGTCTCTCATTCTCTCTCTCAAATAAATAAATAAAATCTTAAAAAAAAAAAAAAGAATAAAAATGTCCCTACCCAGTGGGCTATTTGCACAAAGCCAACAAATCATCACTTAACAGAGGAAAAGGTTAAAAAAAGCTTCAATGTCCTCAGAGTCAACATGGTCCTGGTGGCAGCATGGCCAAATGACAAAACAGCTAAGGGCCCCCCATCTCCATGACACAGTACTAGACACAGAGGGCCACAGGCACAGGTAGCAAGTGGTCACATCCTCAGTGAGGGGAGAGAAGACAATGATTTTCATCTGCTTGGAGAGCCTAGGCACTCCTGGAAACAAATTAAGACTACATAGAATTTTGCCTTAAGATCACCACAAATGACTTCCCCCGCCCCCTTTTCACCTTTTATATAGTCCTGAGAGGAAAGAAGTTAGGAAAATGAAGTAGAAAGATACAGTCAGCACATCTTGCTTAATAAGCTTAAATTATAGTAATGGAGACTATGTAGCAACATAGTAAAGTTCATTTGATATAATTTTAATGGAAAGAAGCAATATTTGGATGTGTGATTTTAAAAAGGTATGTACATAGAGGAAGGCTAGACAGGGTATACACATACACAGTAACATGAAACTAGTTCTTGGGTTTGGAACAAAAGCATTTTGGATCATTGTTTCTCTTCTCTATTTCCCAAGCTGCCTCATAAAGTTATGTTGTCTTTATAAGGCAGTGGACCCAATATCTGGCCGCAGCACATACAGCTAATTAAGGAAAATAAGATGTTGAAGAAATAAAACTACAGAAAAGGAATTTAGATAACACCTTTCTAAGCGACTATTCAAGAGACTTGAGCTTTTTTTTTTTTTTTTTTTTTTTTTTTTTTTTTTACAAGGTAAGACCCTTTCCCACATGCAATAAGCTCCAAGAATTTCTGAGCATAAGAAGTTCTAAGAAATTTCTGTATCAGTCCTTTCTGATGGTCTCCTTTTCTCAAAACATGGCATGAGCAGGACATCAGCAATTCTAAACCTGAAAAAGTATCTTACTAACTACAGAAGAAACAACACAGGAATGAGATGCCCAGAGCTTTATGTAAGCCTCTTAGGAGACAATCTACGTGTCTTTATTTATATAAATTAAGGATGGCCACAGACAGAATTTTTTTTGTTGTTGTTGGAATGAACAGAGCCTAAGAGCTCCACTTAGAAAAAAACGCTATCGTGGTAGAAAAACGGACACAAAGAGACGATCAGGGCAAGACTGTGACCCCGTAAGGAGTTCTGTGTGTGCGCATGTGTTGCGTATGTGGACGTGTGTAAGTACATGCACACATCACATGCAATGTGTGTGCAGCTGTCCATTGTAACAACACAGTTTTCCACTGTAACAAAAGACAGAAAGAAAACGTCTCTGTTTCCATTAACTCTAACATCATGCGCACTCAGGGATGCCTTCCCACTGCATTCTGCCAGTCCACGGGCTCCCCTGAAAAGTTTTCCCTCGGTTACTGGCGACTTCATCTCTACCCCTCAGAGAATCGCATCCGTTTGTTCTCTCCCCCAGCCCTGGCCCTGGGTCCAGCTGTAGGCCCATGAAAGGCCAGTTCAGGAAACTGATTTCCCCTAAATACCTCCGAGAGGTTCTTTTTTGGGACTCGGGGCAACTTGGCTATCTCTGTAGCTGAAAATGGTACTTGCTGGTTGCACTTGACACCTACTTCTCTGGTTCTCACCTTCCTGATAGTCCACTTTTCAGTTACAGAACTGTTTACTTTGGCTTACAACAAGAGAGGCCCCTCCCTCCTTCAAGTGTGTTTCCCCATTCTCTGCCTCCTTTCATTTATTTTATTAAAGACTGAGAGTAAATATGCTCTTCTAGCAGCAAGAACAGTTCTCGGTCCTTCACCTTCTACCTCAAATTAACAGGAGAGCCACAGGTTTTGTGATAGGCCCACCCCTAATTTGGGCAGTATCCACCATCAAGTTAAATACTCTCTCTACCGAGAAAATCTTAGAGAAGGCCAACACTTGAAGGAGAACAACTTCCCAATGTCTGGAAGCTGACTTTTAAAACTTTAACAGTAATGAAGCCACCTAAAAGTAATAAACTATATTTTTAAAGAGTTACAGGAAAATCATTAGTGGATGCTCAAAAAAATTACCTTGCTTAAAATCTTGAACCTTTCATCACCAACCAAGAATCATGGAAAACTAGAGCTCTACTCCTAAACCTTACTTAGCGATCAGTTCCAGCTTGCCCTCCTCCCCCTTCCCAAAGCCTTTAGGACAACTGGTACTCTCAAGTGGGTTACTGCAAAGCCGCCAGCCATGTCACTAATATTATAAACAATTACAATCACATAAGGGATGAGCATCTTAAACATGGGAAAGTCGAAGGCACATGCTGTACGAGAGACATCAAAATTAAAACTGCACTGAGGGAATGGGGCTCTCTGGGCACACTAAAGTCACAGAAGGTTACAGATGCCTGACTTATACCAGGATAATTCTGTATATGTGTCTATGACCCTGTATCCTTATTTTAGCCAAATCTCTCCTTTTTTAGCAGTTGAAAACTTTAATACCAAAAATATCACCCAAAGGTTATAATTTACTGTTGTGTCCTTAAGTGTCTAATGCCTTAGTGTCTTAATTTGTAAACCACTTTAAGACTTTCAGGAAAATAAACAAACAAACAAAGAGTTCATGACTGGTGCTAAAGGAAAAACAATTCCACCCGGCTTAATAACAAGTTGGGACTCCAGCCACGAGTCATCAAGAATTCCTCAGTCCCTGAAGTCATAGGGTTTGGAGAAAATCCAAAAGGAATTTTGCTTTTTTAAATTCCTTATATTGCATTCTTATGGACTTCCTGTTCAAACCCTTGTGAGGCATTTTTATTATTCACAGTCACACACTTCCACCCTCATGTTGTTGGCTTCGGAGCTCCTTCCCCAAAGAAGGTGCACAGTTAAATTCCTGATGACATTCGGAGATCACTTGCAGCAGTAAATAGGTTGTGTCATTCACTGGCGTTAACACTCACAGATGGAAAGTTCTATGCATGTTTGTTAACTTAAACTCCCTCCTGATTAGTCCACATACATGCTTCAGACACAATCCTAGATTTGCAGAAAATGCAGACGTTTATTATCAATTATTCATATGGTCACATATCTGAAGCATGTCTATATAATAATTCATAATTGTTTATCAGTTATAGTTTACAAATAGCTGATCACTGTAGCATTTCAACTGCTTATTGTCCCAGATCCCTGGTGGTAAAGAGGTTACGAGCTGCCGCCCACGAGGAAAATTCTTACAAGCTGATGAAAGGTTGGTGAATGAAAGGTGACATCTTTATGGCAAACTGGCAAAGAAAGAAAAGTCCTCACAAATAAAAATTACCTTTAAATATTAGCCAAAATAATTACAGCTGAAACTAACCTATCACAGCAAAATTTAAAAACTTAATTCTAAGGATGACTGGGGGGGGGGAGGGGTGTGACAGGAGAGAGGACCTGGTTAACCAGTTCTAAGCTTCCTTCTGCAATGATGAGACTTCTCACTGGGATTCTCTCAACACTTTCCACAGTGCAAACCAAACAGTTCAGATGGAAAAGTTTTTGTATAATATCTTGGATGACCTTGAGTCTAGATTGAGTCAACAAATGCTCATTGAGTTCTTCCTGTGTGCCAAGCGCTAGAACAACACACAATCCTGGCACTCGAATGGATCACAATGAGGCAGAGAGACAGAAATGTGAACTCTAACACAGTGTGAAAAATGTTATAACAGGGGAAGGAGAAAGTGCTATTTATGGGCACTGGGTGTGGGGGGATGGCATTGCTTTTTCCTGGGCAGGGCAGGAAGTCCTCACAAAGGAAGCAGCATAAAATGGCAGGGTTTGAAGGACAAGAACACATTCTGAAGGATGTAAAGACAATTTGGGGGAATCTGAAAGTGGACACCACACCCTTTTTCCAGTTGCCGGCTTTGCCCGCAAACCTCTAGTTGCAACAGATACTAGGAAGCATGTGTGTCGAACAGATCTCCTAATTTTCTGCATTCTCAAAGGGTCTTTGCCCAACATAAACTTGAAACAACGTTAGCAAGCCAACACCTTGAGAATAGTCAGGTACTGAATTTAGGAGTCTAATTTTCCCTTACCTGTGGGCTTTTGGTAATGACATGCAAATTACTAAGGCTCTATGGGAAGTTAAATGCTTATTATACTAAGATTATTAAAAAAAAAAAAGTAAGTTGGAATCATTATGCACATGAAATATATCCCCTCCAAAGGAAAAACAATTCACTGTTCCTCCTTTACTACTAGTCATCCTCTATGTTTTCTCCCTCTTTGTGGCTCCTCATACCTTCTACTTTTCCATTCTCTCAAGAAATGGTATCAGCCAAGCATTTCTGACTCCAGGGCACATGCTTACACATTCACACACAGTTTAAAAAATATAATACATGACTATTTTCAGTGCCAAATGTAGCTGTAACTATATATTTCTTTTGGACATGTTTTATGTTATAAAGCATGTAAATACTTTTTCTCCCTCAAGTTTTCCAGAACTCTATTGGCAGAGTCTTTTTCCAAAGCATTGAGTACAATTTCCTGAATAGATAGTCAATAAACTTGGTTGCTGAGAGCTCACTCACCTTCTCCCAACATAGTCTTTGAAAATAATTTCATCTCCTTCCAACCAAAAACACCTCTGGCTTCTTTTATGTGCTTATTTCCCTATAGAGGTATTCCATTTCTCACCCTAAATTTCTGCTTTTCCTTTCTGTTATCACATCTAAAATTCCTGTGTAAGGCCAAAAACTATGTTTAGTGATAACCTACTATAAATCATCCCACAATTGTCCTTTGGATAATAAATCTTTTGTCCCAATCAGCAAGAAATAAAGTCAGTAATCTTCCTGAGTTCCACTTGCCCATGTATAGATATCCCAATTAACTAGATAGTTTAAAAGCCAAAGCACTTTAATTAGAATTGTTTTTTTCAAGTGTAATAAAACAATGCGCAATCTTTACTTAAGAAGTCATTTTCAGTTTGCTGATCTACAGAGTAGATAGTATATTTAATTTGCTTCAACTATGCAAGTTGTTTTCAGCACATACTCAACACAATGCAAAGTATTCTTTATATTGTGCTCTCAGCAGCTGTACACACACACACACACACACACACACACACACAGTCACTCTCTATCCAAAGATATGAAGTTACCTGCATCTTGAAAGAAAGAATTATCACAGCTTCTTGGCTTTCAAAGTCACATCTGTAAGCGTACCAGGAGCCCAGCTGCTGATGCTACAGATATTTTACCATCCTGGGCACACCTTTTTAGGCCAGCAAGTCCACCACAAACGTGTAAAGAACCCTGTATTATGAACTTTTATCACTTGCTGGCCCATACTATCATATTGCACAGAATCAAATGAATCTCACGTACTGGCGAACACATCCCCTCCAAACATTTCTACAGAACTGCTCTCTGTTATCCTCTTAGTGCAGACACCGTTACTGGAAGAGGTCCTCGCAGAGGATTTGATGCTTGGCACCAACTTCTCTTACTAGTTGGGTCACCAGTAGCTGGAGAGCTGCATTAACCATGCTAGGAAGAATGTGGAGGCAAATGGAAAGAATTCTGGAAAGCATGCCTTTCAGGGTGCTTGAGATACAGCTTACCTTGGGTCATGGCAGGGATTCACGGGGGAAGGAGGGCCAAAGCACAGCACAAAGTCATGGGCATGAGAAGTACCAAATGGACCTTCTAGCACGGACTCTGGTGGCAGCAAACACACACTGAACACCCTGGCCACTTCCAAGAGAGAAGTGTTCTAGAGAGAAGGCCCTAGGCATTCAGACCATCATTACTGCCCCCCCCACCCCAGCTCAAAAGTTCTTAAGTTCTCAAGCTAATATGCACCAACCAAGCAGGAAGGAAACCAAATAAAGACCTATTGATATACCAAAGAAGAGTAGAATAGAACCTAGTTTTTCAGCAAAAGCTCCGATTAGTAAATGAACACCAGCCACCCCTCAATGGCTATTTCAGACACCACCATTAATTAGCTATCCAGAAATCTACCCTGGAAGGACAGATAGGATAAGATCCAGAACAGGATTTAACTTCGGATATCAAGAAAGAAAGAAAGAAAAGAAAAGAAAAGGAAAGAAAGAAAAAAAGAAAGAAAGAAAACACAAAAAACAGAGCAAGCCACAGTACTCCACAACCCAGAAAGGTTTTCTGTTAAACAACATAAAATGTCTATCCAGTTATTAGTAATCTCATAGCAGTTAAAAAAAAAAAAACTTTCGGAGCAAAAAGCAAAATATCACAGAAAACTAAAAGTTAAATAAGTTCACATTGCTAAGGATTGGTGGCTTAGGTAATTGAACTGAAAGTGAGAATCACAGAAGAGATCTACATAATAATTAGCTGCTGAGTTTTCTCCAGTCGCATACTCCCAAATGGAGTATTTAGCATTCAGCAGACTTATTAACGAATAAATGCCCGACTGGAATTAACTAGCACCTCATTCTGGAAGGCTGCTCTTGGCAAAAATGTAATATCCACAAGGCAAAGCAAGCTGATTGCTGGTGTACACTAGGCGTCCCATTCTTTGGAATAATTCACGTTATATCATGTTTCAGAGCCACGCACGGGTCCACCCACCTGGACAATATGCAAAGGATGGGTGGGGTTTCTAGACCCCAAGAGACAACTTCCTGAGCTTCACAGCTGGCCTGTTCTTGAAATACAGTCAGGGTAGACTTGCTGTCTCACGGACACGCAGGGCTTCCTGCTCCCGGGGCTCGCAGCACACAGAGGTAACAAGGGGGGCTGGCACGGGGTGCAGCACGTCCCTTTGCAGAGACTACTCAGCTCATCCTCCCGGTGTGAGGCGCCCAAGGGCCACATGGGCCAGTACCCCGGCCACCCCCACCCAACCCTCACGTGCAAGGACTGCTATGTTTCTTTAAATCCAGCCTGCTCCTGAAGGAAACTCCCTGGCAAGTGAAAACAGCCGCAAAGGTAAAAGAATGCTGGGAATTTGGCTGCCGCCTGCAGTATTAGGAAGAACAGCAATTACTCAACTCTCTCCTAGTGTCAGAGGCAGAAAGGAGCATGTGAATTTGGGCAAGTTTCGGCCTGTCTTTGCTCAAGCTTCTCCCCTTGTGGTAGCTGTCACCTACCTACCTCACAGTCATCGTAATTAATGAAGTGAAGGAGGGAAACGGAGAAAGAGTGGAGGCAGCAGGCCAGCCCATTCACAAAAGAGAGGCATAAATTCTACCCTGAATCCAGGCTGGGCCAACACTCACCATGGCTTAAAGATTGCCAGCATCTAAAGATGTCAATAACGTCCCGATCACTGTGTTTTGCCCTCTCCACCACCTCGCAATAAACAGAACTATGTGAGAACACTTGATCTTTTCCTCCAAGCCCTTCCGCCGACAGCCCTTGGCAAAGAGTCCTGTAGACACGACCACTTCTCCCTTCCTTGGCTCCGCAAACACAAGGTAATATTTGACTCCTGTGCCCCACTTCTAGGTCGTAAAAAACATAGATCTTATGACCAGAAGGGCCTTAAGATATCATCAGTTCAGTTCCTCTGCCTTCAGGTAGGCAACTACCTAATTCCCTTTAGATAAATTAAGGCAACATCAAGGGAAGTTGAGAAGGTTTTATTTGAGTTACTGAGCTACTAAGGGATGAAAGCAGATCTGAAAGCATGGCTACTTTGTCTCCTGTAACATGGTATACTCTCACATGCAAGAATGTTGCACGATTTCTCTCTCTGAGCAGCCTTAAATCCTTCCTGTCACAAACTGGTATATATATGAACCCATTCATTCTTTTGATAAAAACATGGAAATCTGGGGCACCTGGGTGGCTCAGTCGTTAAGTGTCTGCCTTCGGCTCAGGTCATGATCCCAGGGTCGGGCTCCTTGCTCAGCGGGAAGCCTGCTTCTCTCTCTCCCACTCCCCCTGCTTGTGTTCCCTCTCTCCGCTATCTGTCAAATAAATAAATAAAATCTAAAAAAATAAAAAAATAAAACATGGAAATTTATTTGGCCTTTCATTTTTATGTCACAGACAGTGGTAATAAATTTTCCTGAGATCTGTCTGAAATAGAAGAACTCAGTAGTTCTGAAAAACACACACAGTCTTCCTCAAACCACTGAAACATCTCTCTACTTTGGTTTTCAGAGACAGAACTATTTATCCCTTTTTCCTCATGCAGAATGTAAATGTCCGTGTCTTTAAAAAAGCAAATGTGCCAACTATGGAAAGTGAGGAGAAAGGGGAAACCATGTGAAGGTTTTCCAGATCTACATCCGACCAGATGATGGAATGTTCTCTCTCTGCAGAATTATAAACACACACTGAGGGTACTGAGCACCTACATCCTGTATGTATGGTTCCTCATATGTGATGGGTCTGAAGTGGTCCAACTAATCCTTAAGATGAAAAGTCTAGCTCAGGTCAAACTTCCTTACGGTAGCTTTACCTTATTTTGGCAGGTCTTTTAGAGTCTTGAAAAAGAAGTATCACAACTCTCCAATGTTGACATGCCTTTTGTTTTATCACAGCTGTGAACCGTTTTGCTTGCGGCCTTTGGATAAGAAGCTAAATAAGTTACCTCTTGTAGACCCAGGACTTTGCAGGCTCAGGTTTCATTCTGCCCTGCCAGAAATTCCTTTCTGTTTTGAATCTGAGATGTTTGTTTATGGTTTTTGTTTTGAAATGCTAAATAAGACAGGCAGAGTCTCTAGTTACAGCCTATATCTCCCCCCCCAACCCCCCCTCTTGCTATAGCCAGAGTGGCTCCTTCTTAAGGACAAAGCACTTCCCTAAAATTTCCAAAGGGCAGATTCTTCAAATTATCTTCTCAGGAACTTGAAACATAAAATAACACCTTAAAATATAATTAACACTTAATTTTTGTTCTTAAATGTTCATAAGACAAATGTTCCCAGGTGATTTTGAATTAGGGCGTTATTTTTGGATTTGACAAGCACATACTTAAAACCTTGAAATTTCAAAGTTTATCTCACCTTGCTTGTAAGTTACATATTTGAATACCAGCACTCTTGATGAAAGAGGCACTGCAATGATAGCTACTAAAAGAGTTTCTGGAAGAAAATTCAATTTCTATTGTGTGATAATAAGGTTTGGTTGTCAAGAAGAAAATAAAAAAGAGTTGTAAACTATTGATTGCAAGGATTATATCTTCATCAAGTTCTTTCTCCTTGTTCCCTAAGAGCCAGTATAAAGCATTTGCTTTGTGAGTCCTCAGCCCATATTTACTGGGTAAAAATGACACCCATTTGCAGGCATGAAGACAGCGCAGCAGTTCTGTCTTCCTAAAGTGGGGGCCGCACCTACCCCAGGAACTAAAGAGACAAGAACTCAGGTATTTTAATTCTAGGCATTCTTTCCCAGCCTTCCGCTGTAGTACAAAGATGCTGCAGAGAAACTACAAGGCAATTCCACGGGAAAGCCGTTGTATTAGTCCACAGGAAGGATGGATGGAACCCATAGGATCAAGAAAAGCAATGCAGATGTCCGCCCAACACCGTCTCCTGCTCATTCTTAACCTGCCCTTGTCTTCGGGCCGGCTGGGATGGCGGCTCCATCCTTCCTTCCTTTTGTAACTGCAGTGATCCCAGCCTTGCCCTGGTGACACTCCTGGGGTCTCCCAAGTCTCCAGGGATGCCCTGAAACCCACAGAAAACTTCTAGCAATAAAAGGAAATTTAATTTGCTTCCATTAAACCACAGGCCATCGATATTAAGATAGGTCACCTTTTAAAAAGTCTTAGTTTGAAATAGCTCTCTGGTACTAGGAACACGAACCACAAAATCAAGCAAATGTCCACATTCTGCTGAAACAGCAAAGAGGCTAGGAACTACAGCAGTACTGAACTCGAATGTGAAGGAGCTGTGTGTCACAAAGTGCATCTTTTTTAACTTCTAGATAAAGCTAACGAAGAAGAAAATGAAAAAGGATAACAGAATGAAAATTAGAATTAACTTTTAAAAATCTATCTGGTACTAAGAATTATACTCTACACACACCAACACACACACATTATCTATGTAATTTCATATATATATATACACATATATGTATTCCAACCCTCACTACATCTACTTCACAGAAAGCTGTAAGTATTCCATTTTTACAGACGAGGAACCCGAAGCCCAAAACAATGAAGTTGGTTGTTCAGTTAAAAAATAAGAGCTGAGGTTTGAACATAGGTTTGTCTAGTATCAAGACCTATTTTCTTTTTCCTAAAACATCCTGCACAGAGGAGTGGGAAGCAGGAAGGAAGAGAGCACACCCTCAGACCTTGCTTGGTGCCCACTAAATCCTTCCTGGTGGTTAGAGTCAGAGCCCCTCTTAGTTGCTCTTGAGATGCTCAGCACTTTTCTCAGCGCTTTACAGCTGTAAATAACTCTTGGATATAAGCGTCTCTGCTATCTGCCATTAGACCATGGCCTCTGTGAAAGCGGGGTCCCTATTTTATTTTGGCTGAAAAATAACTAAAATAGCAGGTAACATTATCAGGTCTCATAGGCCATGCTCTGTTCTATGGACTAGCTTTTTCCTCCTTAAAGTGTAGTCCCAGGATCAGCAGCTTTGGCATCACCAGGGATTTTACTAGAAATGCAGAAACCCAAGCCCCACCCAGACCTACTGAATCAGGACCTCCATGCTCAATGAGATCCCCAGGTGATTTATGTGCACACGAAAGTTTCAGCACAGTTTTATCTCATTTAAGCCTCACAACAAACACACATGCTACCTATTACTATTTCCCAAGAGGGAAACTGAGGCTCAGAAAGGCAGCATCACTATAGTGTAGCACAAAGACCAGACCCATAGCAGCTGCTCAGTAAATACTTGCGGGCGGAAGGACAGCAGGGAAACAGGTAGGAAGGAAAGGACTGGGTAAACGTCTGACCTCTAGTTCTGTCTAGTTTGTACCAACTGCAGCAGCAGGTGGGCCTGGGGTCCCAAAGCAGGCAAGCTGCAGCGACACAAACTGCCTCCTTAGCTCAAGTCAGGTCAAATCCTGTGGGCACCAGCAGTGTGAACACTCCAGGAGCTAGGGGCAAACTCTTCCTCCAGAATATAACGTGCAGGAAAATGTACAGTCCTAATTACAGTGAGCTTAGGTGCCCTCCTCTTCCCTAAATGAAATATTAGCCCACAGATAAATGGTAACATTTATAACTCCCATGACGTAATGCAAAAAATTTCAGGTTCCTCCCTCTTTATTTTTACCCAAAATATACAAATGATTTAGACAGAGTTTAACAAATGGGCATCTGAAGGCAGCAAACAGCTTTAGAGGCCCTTAAATAAGTTTTTTACTCAATGCACTTATGGTGTTGGGGTAGAAGAAAAGAGGGGACCTGAGCTTGATAATCTGCTCCTTTTCTAAGAGCCCAAACTCCTTAACTACTGATAATCATTACTCAGGTAGAGGAGGATTAAGCAGAACAACAGAATGCACCCATATCAAGTTGTTTTACTTATACTGGTTGGTACCTTTGTTGTTATTAAGTGTCACTGCCAGTCACTCTTCCAAGTGCTTCATAGCAATTCATTGAGTCCTTAACAGCAACCCTATTATTAACCCACTACACAGACAGAAAACTGAGAGGCACAGAAGTAGATGCACAGATTTGACCTCAGAAACCAAGTTTTCAACCATGACACACTTTTATCAAGGTGTACGTCTTTTGCACGGGGAATTAATTGGGGCTGGGGAAGGGAGGTAAGGAATTGAAATCTGTTCGCTTTGTAAAAGAAAAAAGGATCTTTTAACTTTTTTTTCCACATAGTAATAGTAATAGGTAGCATGTATGTTTATTGTGAGGCCCAACACGAACACTTAGAAATGTTAATTTGGAGGGCCTTCTTAAATTTAAATCTATACAACCACTCCTCTGACCAGAAGACCCAGGAGGTCTTGTCGAAGCACAGACCAGGCTAACTGGCCAAGACAAGCAGCAGGGAGTGGGTGAGATGGAAAGATGCTTGATATAAAGGGACACCTCTCAGCTCACTGCCCACGCTCATCTGCCTAGTGGAACAAGCTAGAACACGGAGAAAATCACTCTGGAAAGGAAACTTGCCATTCTAAACCACAACTAGTAAAGCATTAAGAATGCAGCCTCATTCTCGGATGTTGGGAAACACTCTGATATATGTTGCACAGCCTCTAAGAAGAATGGGTAGGATCCCATCCCCCAGCAAAAAAAAAAAAGAGCTCCTATTCATACTTTTAAACCTAGTTTGAATTCAAATTCTCCTTTTCAGCTTTGCCACCAGACCCTGAAAAGATCATCTCAGATGTTGCGATTCCTAGAACAAATTTTAACCACCTACTTCACTCAACAACTAATCATATACACACTTGCAAGATCATTTCTATTTGGCTTGAACTTGTATGATTATGTAGACTTTTTAAGGTCTTGCTGCCTTATACTTTATTGAGATGAAAAGAGTGTAGAGGAGGGGCGCCTGGGTGTCTCAGTCCATTAAGCGTCTGCCTTTGGCTCAGGTCATGATCCCCGGGTCCTGGGATCGAGTGCTGAGTGGTATGGCTCCCTGAGAGCCTGCTTCTCCCTCTCCCTCTGTCATTCCCCCGACTTGTGCTCTCTGGCTCACTCTAGCTCTCTGTCAAATAAATAAATAAAATCTTTAAAAGAGAAAGGAAGAAAGGGAGGAAGGGAGGGAGGGAGGCAAGGGAAGGAGGAAGGAAAAGAGTGTAGGGAGTAGGGAACACATTTGAGAGGTCCCCAAGCTCCCCAGCTGCCCTCTGCCTCAGCAGAAGGCCTGGTACAGAGCAGGAAATCAATGAATGAGTGATTGATTTCTATGCAAAGACAAGTCAGATCTCTGAAAATTCAGCTTTGGAAAAGTCAACCGCTGAGAAGGCAGGCTTTTGGTCTGTTACTCATGCCTGCTTGGCTAGTCCAGTTTCCTCTTCGAATAATTAATTGAGCTGTACTGGGGGGTCTCGAGGATCCTGACACCGCCTGTGCCACATACGGAACACAGTGTTACAGGAAGCCGCTTCACCAGACACACCTGACCTTCCATCCATCCTGCCATGGCTCATCTGGCGGCATCCACATGCTAGAGCAGCACTACCCTGCCATGCTCCTGCAAGATGTTAAACACACCCACATTTTTTTCAAGAATTTCACAATTAATGTCTGGAATGCATTTTGGATTCTTCTTCAAAGGATGACACAGTTGCCCTAAGATGAATTCAATATTTTTCCTCTCTCCCATTTGTCGTTCTTTGGTCCTCCCACTCCCTTATCTTTTTAGGGTCATCTACTTACTCCTCCCAACTTCATAATGCCTGTCCCCAGCACCCCCAAGCTGTTCCCTTGTTTATCCAAGTCATTGCTTCTAACCAAGCCGCACGGAACAGAGAAACCTGCATGCACCATTTCACTAAATACCTCTTATCGCTAGACACAATGCCCACAGTTTAAGGATTCTTCAAACAGTTTTCTTCATAAATTAGCCTGTTCACAACTGCATTGCCAACATACTTGCATGTGGATTCTGCTGGTCACTGTTAAGCATGAATTAATGGCAGCAAATCTCTCTAGACGTGCTATTTTTGTCTTTCTGGTACTATGCAATTCATTTGCCCTTTGCCAAGTGTTTTATGTGACTGGATTCCTGAATAACAGGATTCTGTAAGCTTGAGAGTCAAAGCGAAGGTCACCAAGTCCTGTCATTTGTGCAGTGAATAGTCTCTCCATATTTTGTCAATATTTACTTCTGGGAGGAACTAATTATTTCCTTGTTTACTTGCATTGGTTTCTCTTCCCATACCCTAGTATCGTAATTTTATAGGCCCTCTGCTGGCTTTCTCTAGGAGCTCACTCCACCTGAACACTTTGAGATGGAAAGCAAAACACATTCCTCAAAAACAAGGAGTCCTGGGTGTGTCAAGTTTTCAAATGTCAATATAGGAGTATTAACTTGGCCCCACCCCTCTTCTTTTTAATTAGTAAAATTAAAATCCATGGACTCTTGACTCCAAGTCCTACATTTCAGAGCAATGAGAGGAAATCCGTGTGGCTTGTGCATTAACCAAATGGTTTGGTTTGGGAAACAAACCTGCCTCCTGCACCCTGACCTCAGATCCTCCATACACTCTTTTCCAAAGAGCCATCATCTCTATCCCCGACTCAGTTTTCCAGGGTTTTGAAAAGAAACTATAACCTTCTAAAGTCAACAGGTTCAGAATCCAACATTCTGTTTGCTGTAAGCACCCACCACATAACCACAGTATGGTTTTCCTCCTCACTGTCCCCATGAAAACTAGGTGGAAGGAAAAGTTAAAATACCTGGGAGAAATAAAAGGACTGTGTTTTGAAGGAGATAGTTTGGGAGATGCCATGATAAAAAACATGGAAAGTTCCATAAAGACGAAGCTACTGAGTAAACATGCACTGGGGGAAAAAAAAAAAGTTGGTTCTTGTCTAGGACAGCAATCACCTGGCTCCAGTACAACAAAGTTCTCGGGGCCGAGCCACTCAGTAATGTCTGCCAGGTTCCAAATCACTGTCCTCACAAACTGTCAAACTCAAGCCATCATGTGCCTTTTTACTATGTAGAGAGAGAAGGCTGCTCACGCCCCGCCCCCCTTGTCCCGACCCCTCACAACAGAAGCATCATGTACTATTCCACATAAGAGGGAAAATGGTCCTCACCCCCATCCCAAAATAGAATCCTCATGGTACAATCAAAACCTTCTTCCTAGAAAATCCCGCTTTGGTAATTTTTCAAAACTCTGTCTTTGATCTCCCATCCAGTCTTCTTCCTCAGGAGTTCAGAATTCAAACTTGTTTCTCCGACTTCTAGGTGATTTACCTGGCGGCAGGCAGCCCAGCCAAGGGACAGGCTGCTTGGGAAGTCAGAAATGGCCACAGGGACTCACCTAATGAGTGGAAACAATAAAGAGACTTGTGCCCTCCTGGGGGCCAAAAAGCACTTTTTAGACTGCGAGAGAGCAGGAAAAAACTTTAGGTACTTGGCTCTATGGCTCTCGATTTTTAAAATGCACTTAAACCAAAAATGTATTTTTTTTTTTAAAAAGAACGATTTGGTTGATAACAATCTAAACAACGCTGAAAAGACCAAGTGTACATGTATGTCACGTGACTCACAGGGCACAACTCTTCACATTATTTCATCTTTCAGAAAATATTTTTTCTTCACTATTCTTTCTATGGAGAAGACTGTTCATCCATTTGCTCAATACACATTTATTGAGAGCCTACTATGGGCTGGCGTGCTTTTAAACCTAAGACAGTGAGCCACAGGTTGGAAGGGGTCCACTTTTGCTTCTGATTTATCTAACTCATTATGTGAACCACAGTTTAAAAACATGATTTTTTTTTTTCACCACAAAGCCAGAATGGAGAGTAACACAAATAAAAACTACTGCAATTTGGCAAGCGGAACAATGTAACTGGTATTTAATTTATGTCCTCGAAAGCCGGTAGATTAGTAATGATAATATATCTATAACATGCAATAGGATTTCTCAGTGTAGGCAATTAAATAAGTTTTCAAAAACAGTTTTCATTAACAGATACAACCAGTAGGGGTCATTTTAGTGCAAAAATTGCAACGAAAGAAACTTCAACATGATTAAAATTTATCAGTTCCTAGTCACGTCTGTTATAATAATCGTGCTTCAGTGTGTGAATTTCTCAATAAAAATGGAAACTGAGGGAAAGACTAGCCATTGAGAAGTTTCTTGCAAACTAACAAAAAAGAGTCCGCACCTTCTAGGTAATTACTGACATTTAAAGACTCCTCTAATTTTATAAAAAGAAAAAAAAAAGGTTATTTATCCTACGTTTTCCATAAATTTTGTAGCCAAGTGAAAATACTTGAAATTTCAGACAGACGATTGACAGTATCTGTGTAAATCCAAACACTGTATCATGCCAGGTAGCCCCCGTTCTTACTCTGGTTTAATGGATTTAGAATACAACTTGAAGGCTGCTTTTAGAATTCTAAAAAGATTAGATAAAAAGAAATGCTGAGCGCCCAGTTTGGGCAACTGAAAACAGTCCTGCTAAATGAAAAGTGTTGCCAGAGAACGCTAATTGAGATATAATCACGGAAACAAGTACTTCCAAGCATCTTCGAGGCTAATACCAAGTGCACGGGGTGTTACCAGAAGGAATCAAACTAAGAGGGATCCCATCATTTCAGAGGAATGAAAAGCTCACGACAAACTGCCAAAATAACTCTATACCGTGATACTGGAAGATTGGTGCCAAAACACTCCATTCCCGTGCAAGCCCCCAGCTCCACATTTCCTTCACCAGCAGTACATCGAGAAGAAACAAAACAAGGGTCAGAATCGTTGAAACCTCCAAAAGTCCTTCTCAGAGCATAGCAGTTTCCACTGCAGTTAGCCTTCTTTCATGTTGCTTGTTCTTTTTAGATTTATGGGAGGCTGGCTTAAGTAAATTATACACTCCAAGAGGCAGGGTTCAAAGATGCATCTTTGAGTCCAACTCATTCAGAATTCCCCAAATCAAACACATAAAATTGTATCAGAAGTTAATCTCCTGGCCATTTCTTCCTGATGTGAGAAATAAAAACACATGTATTAACATGGGACTTGACACCAGTTCAGAGGCTTTTGTGTCTCAGGCAAATAAACTCTTCTCGCCCAATGTCCTAAGGGTGTAGCAGGGCAGGGCCCCTTCCCTTTGAGAAGAGTTCCCTTCACTCCATACTGCCCACTAGCTTCCAAAACAGAAAAGCCTCCTTGATTTTCCAGAACTGTCCAAACTCTAAGAGGTGTAAATAAATGTGTGTGTATTTAAAGAAAATCACAGAATTGAAGTCTTTTAATAGACCCATTTTATCCTTAAGATTGCCACCTTCTTTTTCAGTACCTCGGCACGATAAACAAAACATGCACACAGAAGGATGCCTCAGAAGAAACCCTTCCCTGGTGTGCTGGGTCTGGCCGTTGAGTGGTAAGCAAGGGCCCAGGTCAGAGAGCGACAGGTCGCTCCTCCTCGCCGCTTCTCCAGAAGGCAGCTGCTCTGCACCAGGATGCCCCGGAACAGCATCATCACCCCGACGTCAGCCCGAGCAGGGATCCCGCTTCTAACTGGTGCTCACCGAGTCCTGCCCAACAGCCAAATAAAAAGAACTCACTGCCCCTCTTTCTAGTCCCCAAACCTGACCAAGCACCCGGAGGCCGAGGCAGGCAGGCAGGGCTCAGGGCCGACACCCGCTCACAGGGGTCCACCCAACCAGCGGAGGCTCACTGCTCTAATCGCTTTCTCCCTCCGCCAGTCTCCACACCCAGGTGCACAATGCTTCGTGGAGAAAACAGGAGTACAGCCTTCGCTGTCAAACAAACAGAAGGAACCGGCAACACGAGAGGAAACACGCGGATATCTGATCTTAAAAAGCAGCCACGAATAGTCAGCAACAACTTTTCACTCCTAGGTGCAACACCCCCCACCCCACCCCCCCGGCCCCATTCAGAAGAGCAAGCCTTTGACTGTTTTCAATAGGCAAATAAATGAGTAACCACCGTATGTAACTTCCCCTGGGCTGACATATTCCGGAGCTGAAACTGATTTACATGCGAAGGAGGAGGAAGGGGGTGAAGGAAGAGAGCAAGGAAAAAATAATAGAAGAGTCACACAGGGAGCGAGAGCTGAAGACACGTCTCCTCGCCCACAGAAAAGGGACTTTCGAGATCGGTGTGCAGCACTCGGTAGCACACTGCGCTTGTGCGGGGAGGGCGGCAGGGGCCGGACTCCCCGAGGGGCTCGCGACAGCCTCCGCAGTGCCCCCTGCCCGCGGCGCCCCCACCTCCGGGCGCGGGGCGCGGGGCCCGCCCCACCCCCCGCAGTCCCAGCCCGAACAGCCACACGTGTGCGGGTCTGGCGCGGCCACCCCCACCCGCCCGCCCCCACCCACGAAATCCACCCTCGCCGGAGGCCGGCCCAGCGTCCGGGGAAGCGGGCGAGCGGGAACCAGGGGGCGGGGGGGCTCTCTCCCGGGGGCGGCGGCCCCCTCCTCCCGCGGAGCCCTCTCTCCTCGGGAAAGTCTCCGCCAAACTTTGTTCGGCGCAGCCAGGTGGGAGGGGGCCCGCGGCGGGCGACCGTACCTTCGCATACGCCCACTTCGTACTCGGTGATGGAGTCGCCATTGAGCGGGGGGCGGATGACACAGCGCAGCCCCCGGTCGCAGGCTCCGTGGAGCCCGTAGGCGCCGCCGCAGCTCTCGTTCCTCTGGCGGGCGCACATGTAGCAGCAGCCGCAAACGCCCTGCACGATGCTCCCGGGGCAGCTCCTGGGCTCCTCGCACTTGGACTCGTCGCAGGGCAGGCAGACCAGCGCCCGGGTGCCGGAGCGCGCCAGCAGCAGCAGCAGCCCCAGCAGCCAGACCAGGAGGTGCCCGCAGCCGGCCAGCCCCCTGCCCCCCGCCACCAAGTACATCCTCCTGCGCCGCCGCCGCCTCCTCCTCGCAGCCGGGCCGGGAGCGGGGCGGGCGTCCTCCCCTGCGCGGGGCACACGCGCCGCCGCCGCCGCCGCCGCACCCGCAGCCCGCGGTCCTCGCCGCCCCCCTCGGGGCCCCCGGGGCGCGCCTCCCCTCGCGGGGCGAGGCCCCCGCCCCCCGCTGCGGGCCGCGCCGACCCCGAGCCCACTAGCGTTGGCGCCAGCGGTGGCTTCCCCTCCTCCTCCTCCTCCCGGGAGGGAGGGGGAAAAAAGAAAAAAAGTTTCCTCCCGGCAGCTCCGGTTCAACCCAAACTTCTGGCGGCGGCGGCGGCGGCGGCTGCGCTGGGCTCCAGCCCCGGCTGGCGGCGCCTCTTCCCTCTCCTCCTCCGGGTCGGCCGGCCCCGCGGCGGTGGTGGCGGCGGCGCAGCCTCCGGGCCGGTCCCCGCCTCCCGAGCCGCCGAGTGGGGGCGGTGGCGCAGCAGAAGGTCCGCGGCGTCCGCTCCGCGCGCCCCGCTCGCCTCACTCCTGCGCGGCTCCTCCGGGCGCTTGTTTATGGCTCGAGCCTCCGCCGCTCGGGCTGCGCCCTCCCCCATCCTACCTCATCCCCCAGACCTCGCCCCCCCCCCCCGCGCGCCGCTCATTGGCTGCCCCCCCACCCCTCCCGGCCCGGCCGGCCCCCTCCCCCGCCCTCCCTCGCGGGCTGCCGGGCCCTTCCTCCCTCACACGCCTCCTCCTCCTCCTCCTCCGCCTCCTCTTCCTCCTCCCCCTCCGGCTCCTCCGGCTGGAGCCCCGCGAGCCGAGCCGGCCCTGCGGCCGAGCCTTCGCGCGCCTCCCTCGCCGGGGCTCCGCGGGCGCGCTGCGGCTCGGGCTCGGGGCGCACACGGCGGGCAGCGAGAGGCGCGGCGTGCCGGGCGCCCGCAGGCTCCGCGGCCACCGTGGCTGTGGCCTGGGCGCCCCGAGGGCGAGCCGGCTGCCCCTCCTGGGCCGGCTTTGAGTTCGGAGTGTGGCGGGGACCGCGAAGCTCGGGGCCGAGGGGGTTGCTGCAGCCTTGGCTGGGGCATCCGCCGGAGCCAAAGGGAAGCGAATGCACGGAAGCCTCCGCAAATGGATGAGAATCCATCTTCCACTCGAGCTGGGGATAGACTTTGTGAAAGATACTATGTAATGGAGTCTCGGGAAGCTCGAGACGCCTCCAGCGAAGCTAGTGGTGAATTAATTAAGTGCTTTAAACGGTCTAGGTAAATATTCCGCAGGGGGTGGGGAGGACGGTTGAGGACTGCTGTAGCTCGAGTTGAATTTTAACTGTCCACATCCTGTGTGGCTGGTCGCTCTGCCGTCTGTGCCAAGGTGCTATGTTATGGGAGGGGGTGAATGGAAAGTAGCAGAGCTGAATTTCTCTCCCTTGAGTAAGGCCAAATACTGGATTACTACAAGTCTTGACATGATTGGACCCGTGTTTCTCATGCATCATTAATGTCATCTGACATTGCCCTGTTCTTTCCCAAGCTCCTGGACAGAAGTAATGGGTTTCCTTCTTTTTCCCCCCCCCGTTTACTTGTTTATTGTAAATATATTAATAAAGAAGATGCGTGATAAATGTTATTTGTGAAAACCCCAGTGAAGAAGTAACTGAAGTGATGCAAAATGCGTTGTGCGGAGATTGTTTCTCTTCTGTGACTGTCAGAAAACGTTCTGGAAATGACAGGCTCTGTAATGACCCACCATTCACAGGATATGTACCAAGGTCAATAAAATTCGTGAATTAACAAAAAGTGACTTGCATCCGTGTGTGTGTGGGGGGGTGTGTGAAAAAATCAAGTCCTGTGGCAGGTGTGAGGTGGGAATGGGCAGCGGACCTTCTGATCCAGAAGAGTCTGGCTCCAGGAAGGTGGCAGCCAAGTGGATCCTGAAAATCGTGACTAATGAACCAAAAGTTAATAGCACAGAATTGTAAGGAGAAAGGAAACAAAGATGCCTTTGAAATCCTCTGTTTTCGGAACAAATTTATACTTACCATAAATATTTTGGATTTAACCACTCCAATTCTGAACCAAAAAGCCAGAGTTATGACTGGAATATTCCCCAGCCACTGGCATCAGAAAACTAAATGTTGCTCCAATCGTATTTCTTTGTCCTGAGGAGAGGAAGAGACTCATTAACGATTACTGATTATCAGTGGGTGGCAGAGAAGATTTTCAACAATAGAAAGGGGGAATGAGCATCCCATTTTCTAGAAGGGTCTAAAGAGCTGTTGGGATGACTAGTTTCCAAAGATGTTGTAGAGACAATTCCTGTAGTTGTGTAGGTCAGGTTAGATGCCCTCTGAAAAGACCTCATATCCTGAGGTTCTGCAATTACAACTATTAGTGAAACTGTTTGAAATATGCTCGATTTTCTGTTAGCAGAATTCAAGAAAGATAAAAACACACCACACTGTTAAACATGACTGTTGCTTGTATCCCAACAAGGCACCAGCCCTTTGCTGTGGGATTTGCCAACAAACTGTCATCATTGTGCTGTGTTAAAAGGCCTTTGCCACTCTTGCAGAGAGGTTATCTATATTTCTGTTCAAATGCAAGTATAAAGACATTATTAAAATGTAGCAGATAACATTGTAGGACTCAACAGGAAAAGCCAAGGTCAGGTGGTGGGAAAAAAATGCAGGAGTGAGAAAGCCACTGTCAATTGAAAAAATAAGAATAATCATTCTCAAGGTCCTACTTTTGTGTTTGCATTTTTTATTTTTTTAAGGCAATATATTAAGGGTTAGGGAAAGCTAGAGATTGAACACAGGCGAGGAACAATATGGAGGTCACCATCCATCTTTCCTGGGATTCCGGTGGAAGGTAGACAAACGCAAGGCGATAAAGGCTGACTTCTCATGGGAATTCAAGTTAACCTTAGAAAGGACTGGAGAGATTCCTAAGATGGATATATCAACTTAGAAAATTCAACTTATATAGGGTCCTGTGCCGTAGAATTCATAGAGAAGCAAAGGAGAAAACAGGAAGAGTTACGTGAGGCCTGTAACTAGTAATAAATAAGCAGCCAGCAAGGGCCTGGCAACTTATCTGAAGCCAGTGTGTGAACTAGGAGCTCAGTTATGAAGTAGCAGTTTCTTCCCTGGGATCCAGGAGGGACTCTTAGGTGGCCAGAAGCCAAGGCTGAGAGTGAGGCTCAAACAAAAGGATTCCCTGATCTTTAGAGACCAGAGTAAAGATACAGAAGAAAGGATAGGTGGGCCCAACATGGTGACAATTGGGGGTCAAAGGAGAAAGTAGACTGGGAGGGATAACATAGACCCTGGAAGTTCTATACAAATGAAAGAGAGAGAGTCATACATGGAATATGGTCTAATGCCTTCTCTGAGAAGTCTTTTGAGCTTATTCCCTGATCTATTCTATAGCATTTTGTAACTACCTCTGCTTGTAGCATTCATCATGATATATTATAAAACTTTCTCTAAATAGGTCTGGACTCCATTAAATTGTCAGCTTATTGGGGGGGAGGGCACATGACTCGTAAGAATGTATGCACGCCTGAATGAGTTGATAAAGAGAGGGAAGAATTATAGGTAAAAAGATATATGAACATTCTTGTCTGCAGCCTTTCTCTCTTGGTTTTAGTAAATGCCTCTAAAAGAAGCCTTTGAAAGGGTGGTTGGACACGAAGGAGTCTTCCAAATTGGGGAGGGGGGCTAGTGCACAAAACCAAATCCCACAGGTCTAAAAGGAAAGGGAGTTAGACTATACTTCTGATGGAGGTCTGGAAGAAGAGACAGTCCGCCCTCTATTGGCCATTGGGGGGGTTGGGTGGGAGGGGTTTGCTAAATTGTTGAAAATGTCTAAAAATCAAATGCTCAGCTGGGGACCTAGTAGAAAGTGGAAATAAGAGAGCAATAGACAGACCAGTGGTATTAGAGCCCTCCTCCTTGGTTCGGTGCCTAGTTCAACCTCTCCACTCTAGTCACACTCTGAGATGTTTGTGTTTTCCGGAAACGAAAAGAAAAATGTAGGAGTTGCCTTTTGAGTCTGAAAAACACACTCTTAAAACTGAATTGCACCAGAGAAAAAG